CTGGTGAGCCGCCCTTAGTTTCTCCGCTGGTAAGGGCCACTGTTCCACCCATACCGGATCATCTGATAGCCATGTGATGGGTATGGGGGCTGGCGGCGCAACAGTGACCCTCATCAAAAATGGCCAAAACCCTTCCTATCCCCTGGGGCCCTGGTCTCCAAAGGGAGGGATGCCACAGGGCAAACCTCTCCCTGTTCTAGTTTACCTAGTTCCCTCCCCGGGCTCCAGCCCCTCCCTTGCATCATCTGGGGGCCCCTGCTTTTGGACTTGGGTGCCTGAGTGGTGAGGACCACTCCCATTTCTTGCATGAGGTCCCGTCCCCAGAGGTTAATAGGGAGGCCAGGCAAAACATATGGCTGGAAAAGCCCTGTGTGGCCTTCAGAGTCTTGCCACTTTAAGATTCTGAGGCTTTTTGGGGCACAGCCTGTCCTATTCCCTGGAGGGTCACTGTCCCTTCCTCTTTCGGCCAGGTGGGGGGCCAGAATTTATCTGAGAGGACAGAGAAATCTGCCCCAGAATCTAAGACGCCCCTAAAGGACTTGCCTTCTATCTTTAATGTAAGCTGGGGCGGTTCTCCATAGTGGCTACCCAAAATGCTGCCGGGCCGGTACTTCCAAAACCTTGGTTGCCCCTTTTCTCTTTAATTTTTCTAGCCTCACAAGGAGCTGTAGGGAGAAGGAGTATCTGAGCAATCCGTTCTCCTGCAGGGATGGCAACAACCCCACTGCCCACTGATGTCATTATTTTAATCTCCCCCTCACTATCCTGGTCTATAACACCGGGGTGTACCTGGATGCCTCGAAGAATAGTACTGGACCGTCCCAAAAGTAGTCCGACCGTGCCTGGGGGCAATGGCCCATGCACCCCAGTAGGGAGGGCCTGGATCCCCATTTCCGGTGTTAGGATTGCCCGGGCAGAGGGAGCGAGGTCCAATCCTGCACTCCCGAGGTGGCTCTAAGGAGGTCTGAGATATGAAGGGGTTGCTCTGGGGGAGAAAATGAGTCCTGCCACTGCCCAGAGCAGGGGTCATTGCCCCGTACACATTGGTTTTGGGGCCCTGGGGCGGGGCCCTCCTCCCGTTTCCCTGATTATTATTAGCAGAAAGGAAATTTCCCTCCCAGTCAGTTTTAGAGTAGCAGTCTTTGGCCCAATGATATCCCCTTCGGCAACGGGGGCATAAACCAGGTCTCTTGAGACCCGTAGTACTATTTTGAGGGCACTCTCTACGGAAGTGTCCCTCCCTACCGCAGCTAAAACATGTTTTTCTCCCTCCCAGAGTAGGTCTTTCTTTCCCCACTTGGGGCCGAATAGCAGCAGCTAACACTTGGCCCTGGATGAAGTTCCCATCAATGTCCCTACAGATCCGGATATAGTCATTTAGACTTTTATTGCGATAGGGGCGAAGGGCTTCCTTACAATATTTATTTGCATTTTCAAATGCCATCTGCTTTATGACTGGCATCGCAGGCCCAATGCCCCCAAATATTCTTTCTGCTACCTGACTGAGACGGTCTACGAAGTCTTGAAAAGGTTCGGAAGGTCCTTGAAGGACTTTGGACAGATGATCTCCTCCTTCCTTGGAAGGCAATGCTTTCCAAGCTCCTTGGGCCGCTGCTGCCACTTGGGCATAGACTGCGATGTCATATTGCATTTGCTGCTGAATGGTGGCGTATTGACCACTTCCGGTAAGCATCTCCACATTTCTCTGGGGCTGTCCGGCCTGTGCATTCCTTTGGGCTGTCTGGCTGCATCTTTCCTGAAACTCACCTCTCCAAATCAAATAATCTCCCCCCGACAGAGCTGCTCTGCAAAGCTGCTGCCAATCGCCAGGTGTCAAATTAAGAGACGCAAAAGATTCCATTAAGGAAAGTGTAAAGGGAGCCTGTGCGCCATAATTTAAAGTTGCCTCTTTAAGTTGTTTTATATCCTTAAAATTTAAAGGGTTATGACGCCTAATGACCTGTCCAGAATTGTTCGGATCTGGAACTTCCATTACTGGGGCCACCACCTGGCAGCATTGGACCCCTCCTCTGGGTCTTCCCTCCAGGTCCAAGAAGGACTGGGTTATCTCATAGGAGGAGTCCCTTTTTTCAGAGTATGGGGAAGGGTTTCTCTCCCTGTCCTGTCTTTCCTTAATTAGAATCTTTTTTAGTTCTTTTTTAAAGGCCGCGATCTCAGCAAGTAACCGTTCCTTTTCAGACTGTGACGAGTCTGAGTCTGAGCTACTTCCATTTTCTAGGTCTGATAGAGAAGGATATAACCGATTCTGACCGGAGTCCTTCTTTTGGGTCGCGCCCGGAGATGTCTACCCGTTTTTTTGTTGTTACTAAGAGACTCCTCCTCATCCTCACTAACAATGGAGCCTCTAGTTTCAATCACGGTCTCTTCATCATCACTCTCTGCCCCTGAACTCAAGGAGGCTTGAGTCTCAGTCTCTTGTAACTCTAAAAAGCCTCTTTTGTGTCCTGAACTACCTGGCGGTGACGAACCTTATCTGTCAAAAGTGCTCCCCTCACTAATCTCCATAAGGAGAATGTCGTAGGGGGCAAGGACTCAGATCCCTCTTTTCGTAAAAGTCTATGAAGATCACGGCGAACCTCCTCCCAATCTGGAATATTTAAGCTTCCCCCAGTAATGAACCATGGACTGGCTCGTTCGATCGATTTTAGAAAGCCTTCTAGGGTTTTAGACTTGACTGCAGTCCCATGTTCTTTAAGTAACTTTTTAGTTGATACTGCAATGATTCTAGCTTCCCGGAACTATTCCCCATAGTTTCTTAACCCCGTCCACTTACCTCGCTTTCACGATCTCAGTGGGACCTCCAATTGTCACGACTGCTGCGCGGCCTGTGTCCGAGAACGTGCGGAGGGTGTCGGGTATTGATAACACAGAGACTCGTTCAATGATATAAAGAGAACTTTAAACAGGCTCCAAAAAGGTTCAAGAAAAACTTCCTAAGAAAGGCTCCCACCAGAGAAGCCTCTGCTCTCTCCTCTCCCCTGGCTGGTTCTGCTCTGACACCAGAGGTGGATGTGTGTGGGTTTTTGAAGGTGCGGTTAGTCTCTGGACAAGGTCGAGGTCAGGGCGGTTTCCGTGGGAAGGCCTTTCCCAGGAACTTATTGTATCATTTTTAGTAAACAGGTTTTTACTAAACATTGTCTTACAGCTGCCTACTCCCAGGCAGAAGGGGAAGTGGCCAGGAACTTATTGTATCGTTTTTAGTAAACATGTTTTTACTAAACATTGTCTTATAGCTGCCTACTCCCAGGCAGAAGGGGAAGTGGGTCTCTGCTCAAGGTCTGGTGTTCCCACACATCCTCCCCTGCATTTCAGAGACAATAATCTTTAAATGCCGTTTCCAACTCCTATCTATGGTAGGGACTACAGGATCTGTTATCTTTATCTTCAAACATGAAAATCCAGGGCTAGATCCATAGACCTCACAGGGATTGACTTAAGTAAGAGATCGATAATAATGAAGCATGTTGACCTTCTTCTAAGATTTGTTTCATAGTTTTCTATACTTCTATCACCTGGAGAAATAATGAATTACTCTGCAACAACAACTAGGGGCAAGTTCTAAAAGTGGTATCCATCAGGGCACTTTGCCAGAACACATGTGGGATTCAGATAAGATTAACATTTTTAAAATTTCACAGTCCTCTCCACACTGGTGCTGGCGCACTCCTGCAGGGGGCATATATATCCTTACACGGCAGCATCACAAACATTTTAGCTCACGTAGTTATTTAATTTATTAAGTAAGAATGCACAGGAAGGGACGTCCAAGTGAGTGCGTTGTTTCTGCCCTCCAGTCTTCTCACAGCACCACGGGAAGTGGAGGCAAACCAAACAAGAGCTAGGCGGGTTTTCAAAGACCACCCAGAAAGTGTAGGCTCAACAGGGCCCGAGAATCCCAGTCTCAGAACACCAGAGCTGCAAGGAGGGACAGCCAGAGGCTGGGGGCTAGCTACATTTCTCTTCTCTTCATTGCATCCTGAACGGTGGCACACATGTAGCCCAGCAAGCTGGAGTTACCTCACTGTCACTGACGGCCACGTGGTGCCCACCAGCTTCACTGGCTCTCGGCAAAGCCTGACTGCTCTTCTCCAGCACATTTACACGCCATGTTTACATGTGTATCTGCACGGCCGGCCAAGCCTTTATCCACCCATTCAATCGTACAGGCTATTTACTCTCACGGAGCACATTGCAGGAGAGATTGAGCATGTGAGTTCCACCCACTGCAGCCTCCACTGGTGCCGCGCTTTGTCTCGCTCCGAGTCACCATTACAAGAGTAATGACTGTGTGCTGGGCACCTGCCTGTGGGGATCTTCTAAACCACATGAGTTCCATATGAGCGCCGGCCATGGCAGGCTCTACTATGTGGGGATGCTGGACTTTCCACTGTGTCCCTTCCTGGTGGGTGGCAGGAGGGCCACGCCCTGCCCTGCTAAGGCAGAGAAGGTGTTTGGGTGTGGCCTCGAGGGTGAATTTCAGTTGGTAATCCAGCCCCACAGCTTAGGTGAGCCTGAGGTTGGGGTTTCTCAGCCTCCACAGGAAAAAGGAGTTCCTGGGAACACAGCAATATTCTCACGGCTTTCTCTTTTCTTTATTTTTAAAATGTTAAGCAGTTCCCTCAGTCCAGCCTGCTGCCTGTCCCTCCCTGGTTTGGGGACACACAGGCACACATTCTGCGCGCGAAGTTGTTTCCACTGCGCCCCAAGTTTTCAGCACAGAGACTGAGGAAGGGAATGATCAGCTAGCTACTCCTGCTTGCTGACTTACAGAAAGCCACGTCAAAATTAACCAGTTCCAAGCCCAGAAACCGACCACAAATCTTCCCTCCCCGAACACTGGCCTCCAGCAATCAACAATTTCCTTGTGCTTTGCGGGAAGCGGCCCAAAGGGCGGCCAAGTGAGCAAGGCACAGTCACGCATGGTGACTAATTCAGCACTGGCGCCTTTCTCTTTTCCTTGGCTACAAACTGAGCCCTGACTTCTCCAAAAAGCACCTGCCACTTGGTGGTAGGAGCCAGCCCTACCACCGCACCCACTTCCCGGGACCCGCACCTCAGCAGCGCCTCCGCATCACACCCCCAGAGCTCGCCCAGCCTTGCACAGCGCCCTCCTCCCCCGCACGCCGTAACTCCCTCCCTGCGCATCGCTTGTACTCTCGCCACGCCGCCGCCCGCCACTGCAGCACCAAGGGGAGAAGGAGGCGGAGGAGGACCGCAGCGTGGCAGCCCGGAGCCACTTTCCTGCCCCTCCTCTCGCCGCCGACTCGCTCAAAGGAGTCACCACTGCGCGTGCTGCAAGAGAGAGTGGCAGAGCGAGGCGGCCCCGGGCAGCCAGCAGAGGGGTGCCCGCGCGCGGCGAAGGCTGCAGTGCAGACACCGCTCAGGGCAGGGGTCCCCGCGGCTGGAACGGTGAGTAAGGAGTGCCCCGCAATCTTGCCAAGAGATCTCTCTCTACTAGATTCCCCTTCTGAACCGGGAGACTGAGCGTTGCAGCCAGGGAACTTTTTGCAGCCTTGAAGAAGCGCACTAGCTCAACTTTGCCGGCTCTGGCCCCGGGAAAGCGGCTGCAGGTGTGGAAGGCTGTCCACTGGGCTACTGTTTTGGGGAGGGAAGGAGGAAATCCCACGGAGGCAGTGGGATGACTCCCGGTTCACTGGACTGAGCCAAGTCAAAGGCGCCCTATGTTAGGGATTCCGGGGCAGGTGGATGGGCGACAGCAAGCATTCAGGGCTGCTCCTGCAGGCATTTCCAGGCTTCTTTACTTGGGGTGGGGGGTGCTTCAGGAAGGCCGGGAGAGAATATTCAGAACAGGCTATCAGGAGCGCCTGCCGTCACCATGCCATCACTGCAGCCTCTGGCTCAACTTTTCTGCGGGGATCCCTCTGCAGATGTGCTGGTGGTGGAGAAGCATAGGGAACCGCAGGCAACTCTATGGGAGGCTAACAGAAACCCCGTGAATTTTCAAACTCTTCCATAATCCCCCACCCCGACCCCAAACCCCCGAGTAGCCTCTGTGTGTCCTCGCCAAAAGGTTGCGATCAGGGAAGCGGGCTGTGGCCCTTTGTAAGAATTCACGCTTCTCTTACACTGCACCTCCATTCAGCAAAACCCTATTGAGCGTCCACTATGCGCCTGGCGCAGCGAAGCGCATCTCAGAGTGCAGGGTTCTTGGGAGAGAGACCTTCCCCAGTAACAATGATGATGATTGATGGTGGTGATGATGATGATGATGATGATGATGATGATGATGGCATCTACTACTACTACCGAGATCTCTAATTTAAGGCCAAGAGAAGAAATGGGGCCACAGCCCACCATCTTCTCTTGGTGGACTTTTCTCCACCGAACCGGCTCTAGAATTGGAGTACTTTCTCCCGCGTGGCTGGGACTCCTCTGATCCACCCGGGAAGATTACAGAATACCGGGATGAACTTGACTGGGGCAGCCAGCCCCCCACCGCAGATGCAAGAAACGTCTCCGTGGGCGTGCGGGAACCTCAGGCGCCACGCGCGGGGGCGGAGAGGGGGGAGCTGAGTCACCAGCTCTGGAGGTGCCGCCTGGACCACGGGAGCGTAGGTGGGGGGCGCTCGCGTCACCCTCTACGTGTGGGCGTGATGTCAATGCTGCCCCGCGATGGGGCGGGCGCGGCGGGAGGGAGAACTAGGAGACCCAGCCTGTCTGGGAGCGCGCCTGTGTACGTCAAAGGCTCCCGAGTGATGGATGCCCCGCGGCGCGCCCATACAGACAGCAGCAGACTGGGGGCACTGGGGTGGGAGGATAGACTGCATCAGGGGCAGCAGGGAAAGCCAGGCAGGACAGAGGTTGCTGGAAGGCTAACGGCTCCGCAGTGAGCCGCAGTGGCAGCGCTGGGAAGGCGTGGCAGCCATCAAGGCTCTCCTGGGTACCCAGAGATGAGGTGTCTTTTAAGTCTCTGAGGGATGCCCTGACATTCCTTTCTCCCGCCAGACTCCCTTCCTTCCTGCTTAGTTGACTACGGAAATTTTTTGTTTTAACTCGTTCCAGTCTAGTTCTTGTCCTTAGCTTGAGTGAGAGAAAGTACTCTCAGAGCCTACTCATTTTACCTTAGTGAGTTTCAAAAGGCCTAGGGCTCACCACAAGTTTTCAAGCGGAAAGCTTTCGTGGGTGGTTGAGCTCATCAGGTTCTCTAAGGCCAATATGTTCCTTGGGGCTTTAGGCACCGGCCCGATGTCTAAGTGGGATTTGAAAATGACTTAGAAAACAACGTGGAGGTCTTGTGGGTTATTTTCCCATGAAAATGCGTGTTAAAATCACTGCCTATCTTCCTGGTGGAAAACTAAACATCCTGTCTATCTAATTTTTTTTCTTTTTTTAAAAAACACATTCTGGGAAGCCAATAGCAAAGCCTTGACTGAATGAACCCAAATCTGTAGTGTATGACAAAAGAAAAAAAAAAAAAAAGGACGGCAGACCACCAAGGAAGAAAGGGGAGAGGGGGAGGAAGAAGAAAAATTGTTATCAAGAAACCTAGACAAAAAAAAACCTAGGCAAAGATCTGACTTCCCATGTCTCCGGAGATGATGCGTGACCTCCTAGTACCCTTCTGCTGCCATCCATTGCACAGCTAAAGCAAAGAATGGTGAAAAGCAGCCTCCAGCAGACTTTCCCCCCACAGAGCTGTGTTCAGACAGCCTTGGAAGCACAAAGTATGTATGAACACAAAATAGGAAATATACCCCTTTCCGCATAAAAGGAAACGGTTTTCTTAAAAAGAAAAGACGCAGAACCTTTCCCAGCATTGTTTGGTGTTCAGTGCCAACATATGCAGACAATGGTCTTTTTCTTGACACTAAACTAAAAGCTAATGTCATTAGCTGCTGTCTGGAGAAGGTGGGAGGGGAAGGAAGGGTCGAAGGACATCTGGCTGCTTTGGGTGATGTCGTGAAGAAATAAATGTACTTGCCGTGCCTCCGTGGCAGGGAAAGTCTCTTATCTGGCCTGACCAATAGATTCACCTAAGAGCTTCTAGGTAAAAATTGTGCTTATTCTGTCATGTTCCTTAAATGTGGATGATGCTTTAAAGAGCAAGATGCAGTTCCTAGCCTCAGGGAGATTACCGGAAAGATGTCATAATGTGCTGCATGTCACATGGTCACCAAGAAAACCCATTTTCTTATGCTTAGGAATGTGAGCTCTTATTCTGAATAAATTGGTTGGTGAGATTTTTTTTTAGTAGAAACATCCGATTTGTCATTAAGTCATCTTGGCCAACTCACTCTTGCTGTTCATCCAATGGTAGATTTCCTGGGATGGTGAAAGTGCTCTTTAGACTCTATGCTGTTGCATTATGGGAGGAGCTGCAATCCACCCATGTGTTGTCCTGGTTCCTGATGGCTGGGGTTTCTGTCTGACACAGGCTCACTGAGCATGGTCTGTTTAATCTCATCCTTTAGTTCAAGTCTTTTTACTAGCATATGAAAAGCAGATCTTCCCCCCTCCCTCCTTCCCTCTTTCCCCAACTATATACAGTTTTCATACTTCACTACATTGTCTGCATATTTTCTTTGCTTTTTAAAAATCTCTTTACAATTGAGAATCCAATGTAAAATTTTGCAGCAGATTGAGGGACTTTCTTGAAGCAGTTAGAGATAACAGCAGGATGAGGTTAACATGTTAACTCTTGGTAGAAATATCTTAATGGTACAAGAAGATGCCTTTTTTTAAAATCACAAACACTCCCTCCACTGTGAAGGCCAGTTAGTGATCACTGAACATCACGGCAGCTTACCCTGTGGAGCAAGTGGAATGGCAGGAAGTGAATAAGCAGACTGGGTGAATTGGGTAGTTTGATCTTTTCTAGTCCTAAAAACGGTCATGCTAGGAAACAGAAGAACATTGAGTTATACCCTTGAATCTTGTTTATGTGTAGACTATGAGACTTTTTTATTTGCTTATTGAATTTTACATGGGGCTCTGTTCTTTTAGAGAAAGTGGTCCATTCAATTCTGTGTTGTGCCCTTTAGAAATGAGGGGATATTGGAGGGATTGGTGGGAGGACGTGGGAGGAGAGGAGGGAAAGGGAGAGGGACCTGGAATTGACATGCGAAGCAACCTTGTTTCTAATTTAAATTTAAAAATAAAAACAAAAAAAGAGAAAAAAGAAGCCCCTTTTCTCATGTAACGTTTGTAAGAAGGAAGAGCGTTCCTTTTTAATGAATGACCCTCCTCTCTGCATTAAAATTGCCCTCCCAGAAGCAACCAATATTACCTGAGATTCTAAAGGAGTCATTAGCTGGGTAGTTACAGTCACTCTGCTCTCAAGGAGAGACCATTCCTGGAATAGTCACACCCTGGGCCTGCGTCATGAACGCTCCACGGAGGCAGAGACACACAGCCCTCACATTAGAAGGGCTCTGTGCACTTCAGTTAGGACTTTGCTGCCCTCTCGCCTCTTGAAACTATGTGGGCAAGGGGCTCCGTGCTTTCTTTGGTTGTGGGCCTTCCTAACTATATGATGCCTGTGCATATGAAGAGTATGTCCACCCGCCTGACTGTGCGTGCATAGTTTTTATTATGATGCAGGCCTCTGGTTGCTGAGGGATATGGTGGTTTTCCTCAGACTGAAGCATGTCAGTTGACACCTAACTCCAGGGTTCACCCTAGGCACTGTGCCTGCTTTCACCTGGCCTGAGCAACCCGTGTGCCAGAGCCAGAGGAGCACTGGGAGCTTGTGAGGCGCTGGTCTCCTTGGGAAACTTCAGGTGATCTCCCTTCCCTGGCATTGCCCCTGTGACTGGGCAGGAAGAGGGGGGGGGTTCAGGCTCCAGTGATACTTCCATAGGGACATGGTAGCATGTTGCTAAGGTTCTGTCTTCTCCAATATTCAGGTTTGAACATCTACACTTGCAGGGTTGAAATGTTCCTAAGAAAAGTATCCTAGATACTTTGTTTTTCTGTTTTAAATGAATTGGTGGAGTCATGTAGCCTCTGCTGCAGGGAACAGCCAAATGCTTCTGCAGTTCATAGATACGGTCACCTCATTTGTCACTTTGAGCTCTGTCTAGCCTCTTTAAAAGAATTTTTTCTCTCCATACTGAGAATTGAACCTAGGGCCTCACACACACTAAGCAAGCACTCTGGCACTGCTATACTTCCAAATGCCAAGTTATTCCTTTTAATAGTTATGAGCAGGCCATTATGCCTGTTTTTTTCTTTACTTCTGAGTGTATGCACTTAGATGTTCTAGCGACTCTGGCATTCTTCTCCTGAGTTTTCAGCACATCACTCCATGCTCTAGTTAATGCACATTAAACACATCACTGGCTGCACTGAACACCAAAGTAATTTAAGCATAAAGATTACTAACTTTCAAATAGTCAGTTTTAATGTGCAACTTGGGTTTCCTGTTGGCCACAGCAGGGGGAAGGAAA